ACGTTGATCTCATTGCAGTTTACATTATATTATATCTCTCTCTGTGTGTCGTTGTATTTTCTTCGATAAGAAATTAAGAAAAAAAAAAAAAAAAAACATCTTCATATCGTTCGAGAAAAAGATTTTTAATTTTACATCGACCAAGCGACAAATACACATTGATATTAAATATTTTTTTTTTAAATATCGTCAATGATTAGCAATTTTGTTATATTAACATTAGTTATTATCAGCTTCGACTGAATACATACATACGCAGAAATAAATAGAGTGAAAATCTTCACACACACACACACACACAGAAATATTTTTTATCGGAAGAGTCATGTTGTAACATCAATAATTATTACGAGAATAACGTGTACTCTGACCTGAAATAATCATGTAGCACAATCACGCACGTTCACATTTATCTATTATTTATAATGATGAATGTACATCTTCTCAAACACAGAATACATTTTTATTCTATTGAATAAAATATACAGGATGGTTCAGGAAAAAAGGTTGCAGGTAATTTTTGAAAATAAATCTCTCTTTTTCCAGACTATATATTTATAATGCATATGTAAGTCATATATGTATAAATATATCGTATAAAAATCTGTAAATCCAAAAGATCATCTTATTACGTAGAATCGCAAAGAAATGGGAAGGAATACGAGATATGTAATAGCGATTAATCCGACAGATAAAACAATCCTATGGAAGCCTCGTTTGAAACTCATGTTAGAAGATTTACGTCAGACAAGATTGGCTTCCTATCGTGTTTCGCATTGATTAGATTTCTCAGAACAAAAATTCTCCATATAATACCAATTCTTTTCTTTTTCTTTTTTTTCAATAATCTAACACAATTATACAATTTATCATCAAATAGATAATAGATTAAACATATAGGTCGAATTAGCACAACTCATTTATAATATTTTGTATATTTTTTGCGTATCATTTTCTTTTTACTTCAATTTGATCGATATAATACATAAATATCATTATTTCTCTCTCTCTTTCTTTCTCTTTTTTTTTCTCGCTAATGTTGGCTAAACTTTGAAGTTTATAACTAAAGTTTGTTTCCGACTCAGGATGTCGTAAAATTTCAAGGCGTATACCAACACGAACGACTATGATCACAACGAAGACAACGTTCAAAGGAAAATTCTCTCTCTACGTAATGATATTAATAGCAAGTACGAAGAAGAAAAAGAAAGAAAGAAAAAATCTATTCATGTTTCTCTTTCTTCGTGATAATTATTGATATACGCTTACCCAGTCACGTGGACTCCTTTTTCTAACAATCGTAAATTATTAGAGATAAAAATTCCTTATTCGCGAGTATGCACGAGTTATATCAAGAAGATAAATACCTTGATATGAAATCTTCTTAGAAATTCTCGTTGTTATTGAACTCTTCTGTTGATTTTTTGTAAATTTTTGAAGTTAAAATTATATTGCAAACGTTATGAAGCATTTAAAATAAATAAAAGTATTACAAACAAAACAGAATATAAGTCATATACATAAGTTATATAATACAAAAAGTGTCATTTATGATATCATTGTTACCTCATCGTTTTATTCCCATGTTTTACATACGCTAAAAAAGATAATATTGAATTGACCAAATTGATATTTCTCGTACTATTTACGTAAGAATATTTCAATGAGAGACATCAATTAAGGAATGTCAACATTGAATGTTGTAATGAATGTAAAACTGTATTATCTTATCGGTGTTTCCTAAAAAGTAACAGATATTTATTAATTTATTTTTCTCGAGTTTCTTTAGAGATGATATATCGTATAGTCTGTAGAAAAACGTTCGAAGTATTTTTATCTTTCGAAACGTATTACGTTTTTAATCGTGAATATTTATTAACGAGGAACTTATGACCCATCTAAAAATCTTTGACTGATTTACTACAAAATAAATTTGAATATTATAGGAAATATCAAGAACGAAAATGTTAATAATTTGCATTAAATACAAATATTTAAGCGATAGAATGTATCTTTTAAATTTAGATAAAAAAAGAATGAAAAATTTGTCAAAGGATCATTAAATCCGTTTAATGAAGGACACTAATCGACAATCATCTTACGAGTATAGAAAACTTCATCGAACACAAGAGAAGTATAAGTAAAACTAGATCAAAAAGATTAACCTTAATATCAAAAGCTTATACCTTGGAAACCTTAAAACATTATTGTTCATGGGCGAAGTAAACGAGAAAGAAAGAAAGCGATGAGAAACAGGAAAGGAAAATCCTATAACGATACGAATGTCCCAGTTAATTTTGCACGGTTCTAGTAAACGTGACACATGCATCAAGATTTTCTGCGAAACCTAACAAAATTCATTACGTAATGAAAGAAGAATAAGAAGAAACTATGAATGAACGATAAAATTTTACTATTCGTATCATTTTTTCGTTTCTTTAATAATTAATTATGTAATTTTTAATCACAATAAATAATACTTGATCATAAATATTGTAACAAGTAGATATACATAAATTAATTAAAACCATGTAACCATTTAAAAACTTTTACCTTACATAGAATCTCTAAGTTAGAAACTTTAATCACTGTAACCATATGCATATGTAATACTTGTAGTTATCATTACAAATTAACATTGATAATTTCGTTTTCAACAAGGATAAAGCACGTTTCACCAATTAAGAGGAAAACTAATTAAAATGTTTTTTTATTTGAATATCTGGGATTAAAACGTTAAATCATTTTTCGTAATAGAAAATTTATATATATCCATATAAAGTGTAATTATTTGGCAATGAGTACTATTTCACGTTTCATCGAATGTATTAAAGAAAATTAAACGATCTTTAATATAATCTTTATCGTTTCGAATCGAAAACGTGATCGATATGAATCAAAGATAGTTAACAAAACACCTGTGACTAAGCATTCGATCACAAAGCAACTTTATTATCTTTATATTGTACAAAATCTGCAAACTTTGTTTCTTTCGTATATCTATAATACATACACATATATATATATATATATGTATATACATGTGTATGTATACATATACGTATAGGTATGTGCGTTCTTACTTACAATGTCTTCGAAAAATAAACGATATCTCGAAGTAGAAATTCCTACGAGATTGCTATCGGATTAATGTACACAGATTCGCCTTGAAATTGATCTAAAAATAATCACTAGACTGACCAGTAGAGAGAATTCGTGTTCTTTTTTAAGTTAAAGTATATATCTTACGGATTGTGAATTGAATTGAAAATAATTCGATTTAACCTATTCAAAAATGTATGATCTATCATTTTGTTTTTTTAACGTTAAATCATAAAAATTCTACTAATTAGATATATTTATTTTTTACAAATGAAGACTATGCATGCAAAAAAAAAGAAGAGCTAAATATAAGAAGATAACTTTATCTTCGTGTATGTTTAACTAACAAAGAAGTGCAGATATCATTATAGTCATTTATAAACGTAATAAAATTTATATATATCCTATGCAGGTTCAAAAGTGGAAAAAGATTTAACGTGTAGAGATGATATGAGAATAGTATAGACTTTCCGAAGTAGTTAATGATACACATTACCATTTTTATGATATTCCTTATTTAGCCTCTATTACCTTTAAATGAGATTTCGTTCTTAAGTGTCATGGAATTTAATTATTTACGTCGACGTAACACGATAATAAGACAGAGTAAAACATTTCAAAAGGTTATAATTTATTTGATAACGGAGAAAATACTTATTGTTAGATAACTAGCATAATAAGATAATAAGATATTCGATACGTCAGTCATGTTTCGATCTATCGAAAGAAACAAAAGAAGAAAACTTACCGAAGAACTCTCCATGATAGATCGTGATCTACGAGTTGACGATTCTCACGATGATAAACGCACGATATTATAGAATTCTTTTGTTTAACGTAACCGAAAATGATACCATAACTTTTATAAAAACTAGTCTTGAAATAACGTGTCACACGAACTAACTTTGAACAAGATGCAAGCTTATTATCAACGACCAGCTGTTCGTCAGATGATGGATACTTTGTTGAACTCGTTGTTTCTAACATGATTTTCACTGAAATCATCGATCCTAATAGACTTTAAATATTTCAATAACGAAGCTTTAATTTTTTCTATTATCATCTATTCTTCTATGTGTCTCTCTTTTTCACTTGCAAAAACTTCCGATCGCGGACTCTAAAGAATAACTGGAAAAAAAAAAAAAAAAAGGAAAGGAGGAAAAAAAAAAAGAAAAAAAATTTCGCGAAGCGCGTACAACAACGTTCTAAAGTAAAATAATCAATTTATTGAAAAAGAACGATAAGAAGCGAGCAGAAATATCTTTATCGGTTCTCACGTGTCAAACGAACGAACGTTTTTCCTGCCTACTCCTCCCCTCCTCTGGCCATCTTCTTCTCTGACGATTCGTCGATAGAGTTAACAAAAAAATACTTTAGGAACTTCAAGAGTATATTTGTAGGACAAAACTAATCTCTTAGTCAGCCAACTATCGTAGTTCCCAAGAATCTGTTCTAATTCAAAGTAGAGAAGGAGAAAGAGAGAGAGAGAGAGAGAGAGAGAGAGAGAGAAAGAGAGAGAGAGACTAATCGTCGTCGTGTCTCAATAATTTTGCCATGCTTTTTCTCGAGCCAAGAAAATTTATCTTCCTACTTCCTTCGTCGGCAAGCATTAATTTTTCGAGAGCATAAGTCACCTCGATTTTCGGTTAAATCTTCTATTTTCTTATAATCAAGTTATATTATTGGATCAATCGATCGTAATATGTTAAACAAAAATAATGAACATTTGTTTCGACCTTGACACGAAAAACAACGGATTATCCGAGAGAATGAAGTAACATTTAATTCTTAAAATTAGATAAGAATATCAACATGTAGAGATAATAAAAATTGATATAATATGCACGAGTGTGTGGTGGTGGTGGTGGTAAGAAACATTAAAATAAAATAAAACTTGCCCATTGATGACGGAGGAGGATTCAGAAGGGTTCGGTGGTCCCGACACTTGGACTTTGGGCACGGTATAAGAGTCGAACTGTCCATGAGAATGTCCATGCCCGTAACCTTGACCCTGATTTTGGCTGTGCGTCGCGGTGGAGTCATCGCTGTCGCTACTTTGCGGATGCTCCGATCCAACGCCGCCACGAGGTCTGCGAACAAATAGATCAAATCCTTTTCTACTTTTTCGATCTTTTTTTTGCCCCCCCTCCCTCCCCGCCTTAATATTATCATTACAATAAAAATGTAAATATCGTCATTAAATTCATTATCTCTAAAATTGAAACTTTCATTGATCCAGCTACTCTTCTCGCATCGTTCGATATTCTATATTTATTTTACAAGGATAAAACGTAAACGTCATTAATTATTGATCAAGAAAAAAGTGCATATTGGTTAAAAAAAAAAAAAAAGGTAAAATTATAATTATCTTATTCAACGCGTATAACAAGAAAATTTATCAAATCGAACTATTAAATTTCTAACGAGATCTTATTGAATACAAAAATTAATGGTAAATAATATTTATACAAGTTTGGCCAAAAAAAAGTATTACAAAGTATAGTTTTTTTGAAAAATGTTAATGACTCCCGCCGTTTTTAAGGATTCTAATTCTCAGATTGCAAAAATACGAGGCTTGAAACTTTTAGCTAAACTCTGTATTATTTTCCATAGGAAAACAAGATAAATGTAAGTAATGCACTTTGAAGAACCATTTAAAGAGAGAAAGAGAAGAGTTGATCGGTCAAAGGTAATCGGTTAAACACGCGAGCGCATCAGATATTTAAGTCGATGTATTTAGAATCGCTAGAACAACACAGCTGAACGCGCTTTAGGAACGAGTCATCCGGTTGCACGAGCGTATAAAGACGCCTTCCTTCTGTCGCTTCGATGCTTCCCTTTCTCTCGTTTCTCTCTCTCTCTCTCTCTTTTATATAGATAGAGTAAAAGCAAAATGGCGATAGTCAAGCTGACAGATGTCACAATCAGCTGTTTTTTGTGTGATACGAATAGTTCAACGCACAAAAGTAACTTATTTTATTATTCGTAGAAAAAAAAAAAAAAAAAAAAAAAAACGATAATATGTGTTATTTATCCCCCCCCCCCAGTTATTTTTCTCCCTATCTTTTATAATCTCTAATCTCTTCTCACATTGTAATCGCGAATAAATCAAATGAAATAATCAAATTGATTGAGAGAATAGATATAACGGAATGATTACAAAATATATGATTTGAAAAACTGATAACAATATAATATTAAAAAAGAGACATTTAAACCTATTCCACCTATACGATACAAATACACAAGAGACACACACTATTTTTTTTTCTTTTTTTTTTTCTTTTTTTTTCAAATCACACCTGCGATGTTCGTTGTCGTAGCTGGCGGTCCAATAAAGGGGCGCCACTGTCCTGCGTTGCAGATCACTTTCGTCACCCGATCGCCAAATCCGAACGATATCAACTATTATTTCCTGTGTGTGTCGTTCGTATAATATGATATATGTATATCCTTCGTACTGGAACAGTTAGAATAATCTTCTCTAACACCTCTTTCTTTCACATTATCTCATCCAATTTCTCTTTAATCTTCCTATCTGTCACTTTTTTCACAACGACGACGACGACGACGACGACGACGACGACGATGACGACGACAACGATAATGACAAGGAATAATTATAAGAAGGATTAAAAATGATGAGAATAATCACAGGAAGTCTACATGAAATTGTCCTTGATCTCTCTCTCTCTCTCTCTCTCTCTCTCTCTCATTCTCTCTCTCTCTCTTTTTTCTCTCTTTTTTCTCTGTGTTATCTATAGGAAAGGCAAGCTACGAGATAGAGGAAATAAAGATAAAGATGAAAAAGAATGAAAGGTCGTTGCAGCTTCGGGTTCACGTCAGCTCACGTTTTTTTCGACGAAGCCTAAAGATGAAATCTCTCTCCTTTTTTATTGTCTCTCCTCTTTTCGCTCTCTTTATCTCTTCTTCTCTCTCTCTCTTTCTATCTTTCTCTCACTCTCTCTCTCTCTTGCTCGAAACAAAAATTATGCGGCAATGTTGCGGTATGCGTGTCTGCAGAAGCGGCAGCAGTAACAACAGCAGCAATCCATGCTCTCGTATGAAAACCCTTGCTCGTTTTACCTTCGAAGAAACCACGATACGACAACAACGAAGACGACGACGTTGACGACGTTGACGACGACGACAACGACGACGACGAGGACGTACTTACATACGTACGTACAAGTACGTAAGTACGAACGGACCACTCACATTCACACTCACACTCGTCTCTCTCTATCTCTCTCTTTCTGTTTCTCTCTCTGTTTCTCTCTCTCTCTCTCTCTCTCTCTCTCTCTCTTTCTCTCCGTCTATTTGCTGCGTCTGCGCTCAGAGAGTCACCTATTGACCGAATATCAGAGCATCGTGCTTCCTATATTATATATCCTCTAAAAAAAATATCTAATAATATATCTCCAGGTGTAGATAAAATGATTGAAAAATGATCATTAAGTTAATTCATGCTTTCTATTTATCTCGTTATTATCCATATTTATTTATTTCTATTACTATCTTTACCTTTGTTTGATCAAATTCACGTGGAAACTCCGAATGGATTCGATTGCATTACGACTGCGCTGAAATTCATTGCGCAAACTCAAAGGGAATCTTCTTTCGAAAGATGAAAACGAAGAAAATGGACGTTGTCGAAATTGAATACAATTAATTATTCGAATCTGTTAAGAAGTAAGTGTAAATACTATGTGTATTAGAACAGGCTGATTATAATCTTGTTTCATGGTAGCTCGATACTCGAAAGACAGGATTAACTCGATCTCCTTCGAGCGATCAGCTGATCGACAATCGTTCTATTCGATCGTTTATTATACAAGATTTTCTATTATCAAGTTGGTCTCCTGTTTAAAAGGTTTAGAAATATTACAAAAGAGATTTCGACGAATGAATCATAGATATGGAAACCTTATGCCGATAAGAAATCTCATTCTCTTTTCTTATAAATCGATATTATCGAAACATTGTGTTTTATAAGTAACGATTAATTCGACTTTTACCAAGCCTTTAATATCAGTGCGATATATACGTATGATTTAAATCAAATAGAATTCCTTTCTCAAGGAACAGTTTATGTCGGATAATGCGGCGGTAACTTTTCTTCCCCTTCCATTGGATACATTAGAATTTCGCATAAAACTATTTTATATATATATATAAAAAAAATAAATCAATTGTGTGTTACCATCGAAACATGCACAGACACATATACACATCCACACCGAAGCAAGCGCACGGGTATATTTTCATTAGACCCATAAATCAGACTAAAGTTGCCAAGAGAAGATAACAAGGTATTGGAAGATTTCCAGACCGAATTTGGAACTAATTCTGTCAATCACGAATGATCATTTGATCCTGTTATCTATTTTATTTTTTTTTTTTTTTTTTTTTTTTAAACAAAATGATATTGTAATCACTGGAATCTACGTTTGTTTTCTCGATGAAATAGAACGAGACAAAGAGAGAGAAAGAGAGAGATAAATAAGAAAAAAATGACAATATAATATATTATAAACGACGAGGGGAGAGGTTCAGGAGAGATGAGCGAACCTAAATTTAATCGTAAATGAAATAGTGCAACGTTAAAACTACTTCCTCGTTAAGGAACCGACCGTACGTACGTACTGTCGTACGTGTACTAACGCTTGCTTCTCAACGAACCTTTGAAATCTGTTGTAAGCGTGATTGCAGCGCGTATCATCTCTCTCTTTTCCTCCCCCTCTTTTCCTATTTGTTCAACGGAGACCTCGCAGAAAGCTTCGATAATAGATACAATCCATACTTTCTATATAAAATTACATAGACACACTTATTAACTTCTAAAAACTTCGTTTATTCGTTATATTCAATATTTCACGCAAATGACTTATTATAAAAATAAATAAAATCGATATATCAATATCAGTATGAATATAGATACATATATATATATATATAATAAAATCAAGATGAAAATAGAAGGTCACGTATCACGATTAAAATGGTAGCATAATAATTACTTGATCGCTGCTAATATATAATAATATAGTACTAACAGAATAGATTCCTAAGTGATTTGACAAAATGTTTAACACACTTCGTATTAATATTATTTTCTGGAAAATGTGTTCACGATAAGATAAATGAATAGACTTACGTAGGTATAGAAATAACAGGACATCCTAATTGAAGAAGACTTCGAGCAAGATATTCGGGTGCTGGTTGGTCCAATGCGGAAGCTGAACGCCTGGCGGGTCGTACCGGTCTTTCGCATCCCCCATTTCTTCCACTAACTTCCAGAGATGATGAAGAATTATTTGATAGCAACGAAGAGGACAATCTTTTGTCACGGGGTACTTTCAACGAATGATCACTATCAACAACTAACGTCCTTCCATCCTCCGTTCTTGTATTTCGTGGGATCCTCAGGGAACCCCCACGACGTAACTGCGTTCCCAACTCGTTCTCTGAAACGATTTGCGAACGCCTGTGATACCATTAAACCAACTTCCCAGGTCAATGTACGCGCACGACCAACTAACTATACTTCACGTTCGATCATCACGTATCTATCATAATATATACTAGGGCTTTCGTTTATTATCGTTCCCATGTTTCGATAGATACTCATACGGTAAAAAAAACAAAAGAAAATAAAGGGGTAGAAAAATGAACAAAAAGTACGATTTACGTTTAGGCGGGAAATTAGAAAGTAATTGTTGTTATCAGAAAAATTACCATCTGAATATATAACTATAACTTCCTATGGGACGTCCTCCCATTGAATGAATACACTTTACCACGGAAAGTCTGTTTTGAGAGTTACAAAATCATAGATCTTCGTCTACCACCGTTACTTCTTAATTCGTTTAAAACCCTATGTTTATGTTACATCAGCTTATAACCCGTTATAGGTATATCATCATGTCTCTATTGTATTATTACCTGCATTACGTGAACGAGTTACAAACGAACAACCGATTCGAGCGATTGTTATTGGTTTCGTGTTTACTATTAACTATTACTATGCAATGCTTGTTTTCCTGGCTTACCTTGAATCTGATAGATCCTAAGAGCCATATGATTTAATTTTTAACGACTTAATTCATTGATTCTCGTTCCAAAATACAAATGTTTTTAGAGATTTAATTACAAATTTGTAATAAAATGAATAGGAAGGAAAAGAAATCAAAATGAATAAATAGATATGTTCTTTTGTAAACCGGTCAAAGTCAATGCTCGAGTAACGAACTCGTGACCGTCGTAAGTACGATGCCAACTGACTGACACTATACTAAACTCGGGACCATACATATACTATCGTCGTATCAACGGCATCACGTTTTTGGCAAACTCATGCGCATCTTACTCGAGAATTGCCGCATTTCTCTCGGCAAATTCGCGCGACACGCCTCCTAAATTCGTATACCTAGATAGGTACCTAAGTAAATATATATGTTACATGTTACGATCGAACTCGATTTAACGCTATCTATATATACACCTGTGCATATATTACAGCCAATGTGTATTTTGCGGGTATTCTACAGAATGGTTATGTAAATTAATGTATATAATGGACATGCATTTTATAGTTTGTCTGATCATTTTATAGAATACCCAGAGGGTTTCGGTTAATATATAAAATGCGATTCAGTGGTGTGTGTTTAAAGCATGGAGATGGAGGTAGAAGGGGATTTTAAACAATTGTAAGTGAAACAAACTTTAGAAATTTAAAAATCTCAGCTTTTCCAGTAATTTTAAGAAACAATTACGTACACTCTCTTCTGTTTAAGACCAATTCTTTATTTTTTCATTGTAAGACTAAAAGCTTTTAAGAATTGTTGGCCCACCATGTATTCTCTTCAAAGTGATTACTCGTTTTCAGAATTATTCGTTATACCTATAACTTGGTTCGGTCGAAGTAATTGAGGAAGTGTTAATGTTTTCCACGAATTATGATGGCTATTTATATTTAGCTTTGTGTATCGATCATATATACTTGGGCTTAAATTTTAAGATTTATTAGTGTTTAAGTTATTTTGAAAAATTAAAAAATATAGGAGGAGGGATACGTTGAAATGAAATTGGAACATCGTGAAAAATTAAATGTTAGATCGATTAAAACAATAAACGAGGAAGATTAGGTTAATTATAACGAGCACGTTTGTTATTACAATGTACTATTATTCGTCATTAAGTGTTCCCACATGTGTGGCCTGGTTTTTAGCGTAGAAGGTCACAAGTTCGGATCTATTTCTCGATGGTGTACGAAAGCGATTCTATTTAAGACAAGTTTGTTAGTAATAAAGTCGATGAAACTTTCATTTCCTATCGTTACGTTAAAACGATGTGTTTTCTTTTCATATACCAAAATTGTACACAAGTTTCTAAATATAAAAAGGATCAAACAATATTTCCTATGCGATCCTATGCGAAAAATCAATTACTGCTCTTTATAGAGACAAATTAGACTTATAATTGTATAATTTGGGATTGTAGTTTTATAATATAAACAAAAATGACGCTAAAAAAACTCAAAGATGAATAAAAAATTTAGAATAACACCTTATTACTAAGAACGTTTAACTCACCCTTTTCACGTTACATATGTATATACATTAAGCACAACTATGTATCTGTTTGTGTTAGTATTCCTTTATATTCGAAATACGTCTTGCTTAAAATTAAATTAGCGAGGTTGTATAATCATAAAGACTGAAAGCCAAATATGTTCTGTTCGTGTCAAGCTTATTTGTAAGAAACTACGTATGTATATGCCTATTATATACGAAAACACACATAAAAATAAACTGTCTCTCTCTCTCTCTGTCCCTCTCTTTCTGCGTGTAAAATCGTCTAACCATTTGAACTTCAAACTCAGACGAAAACGAAAACGTAGACTTAAATAACTATTAATAGTTACTTATAAAATTGGTACGAATCTAGATGGTAATATATTATATTGTTTTAATCAAAATAAGAATTATATTCTACGATTTATTTATTCTTATAATCTCTAAAATAATTATTGAGTAGCCCAAAAGCGTTCCTCAGTGATTTAAACAATTAATTATATACATTCTTTTTCGAGATTCTTTTCAAATAATAAAATTACAAGCTTAAGAACTTTTGATCTAGCCTATATTAAAAATCTAATCAAACTAGTATGAATATGATAATATATTGTAATATTATATAATAATATTTTTACAATAAAATTAGAAATTCGTTTTCATACTAAAAGAATCTATTATTTTGACTACGTTTAAAGAAATAATTTAAGCGTTAAGATCAAATAAGAATATATGCGAGTTAGCTGATGGAAAATATGTTAGATAAGCGTTACAAGCAAATGTTTCCTGATTATACCGAAGACTAATGCATTTGTATATTAACAGATACACTATATGTAATGTTAGCTAGTTATATTATCTATCTATCTATATATATCTGTTATATATAAATTAGAAATAAAAATTCGATTAGAAAGAGTTAAAGTTCTTCGACAATAACAATAGACAATTATGTTTTATCTATTAATCATCATTAATACGATAGATAGATCATTTCTTCGAAATTTTATCATTTTCATTTTATAATTATATAAATCTTCGTCGATCATTATAAAATCATCATTTTCCAAGAAAATTGTATTCGATTTTACGTTTATATAGGATAGGAAATTTATCTCATAAGTTTATATCATAAATTACTCCTTTGAAATAAATAGCAATGTCTGCGATTCGTCTGTACGTATACATTTACTTAAGTGTATCTACTATACGTAAATAAATTGGATGCAATTCAAATCTCATGTCGAGTGTTTTCATGTGTCATCAAAATTTTGTGAATGCCAAGATAAGTGAACATTTCATTCTTGATCAGAGAAACTATTCGATTTATTTTTGATCGATACGTCATCCCTTATATATATATATATCTTTGAAGTAGTGGGGGAAAGTAGTGTCATAGCTGCAAGTATTAGGGTTAGGGCAAAATTTAGCATCAAGGTTGCGTTTAGGTTTTGGGGTTGTAACTAAGTCACTAAGTGGAATTGTAAAAAAGATTTGATATAAAAAATAAAAAATAAATTCATACATTCATCTTAAAAAAGGTTGATTAATAATCTTCAAGGCCTGACATTTAACTATCATCTGTAATTACACGAAAAACTACATGACGCAAAAGTTTCATATAATTACGAAGAATTTGATCCTTATTCTTTCGTATTTGGGATTTCCGTTAACACGGTAGAACGAGGTCAAACCTCTTCTAGGAAACTATCAAACTCGTGATTCATGCAAAATTCAAAAGCTACTTCGGATTCCGTTAAGTAGAATGTCGGTTGATTTCAAATCTTCTCCAATTTCACTACTACAAGAATAAAGACAAAAAAAACAAGAAAAACAAAAATTCAAATTTATGTGTAGTATCCCCTCCTTTCTTTTCCAAGCGAAATAAAAAATAAAATATGCTAAAGGATAATCGCGCAGATATAATCGTTTATTGAGAAAAGTTACGAATTTCAACGTTTTTTTATTTTTCCATAACGATCGTCGTAAAAAATTGATTAATTTAATGGAAAAAGCAAAGATGAAAAAAAGCAAACAGCTACGTAATTATATAAAAACATTTGTACACACGATTACAGACTTTTGGATAAGAAAGCATAGAAGAAAAAGTCGTCATCAAAAGTATTACACAATATGATATAAATAAAAATGCTACGAAATATATATGTGACTTAAAACAACAAGTAAGTTCATTAATGAAATACAAGAAACTATATTTAGAAATGTATCATGTATATAAATGTGTATGATGTTATGGATTATATGAAATAATGAAAGATATCGCGAAGAAAGGAGAAATAAAAAATCGAAAAGGAGACGATTTGAAAATAACGCATATGCCAGTTTCCCGCCACTTTTCGATCAAATTTGTAGAGAAAGACTTCGAACGAAATGTTTGAAATGTTAAAGTATATACAAATGACAGCGAATTATAGAAATGCATTTTATGTATAATTTAAATAGATATCTTACCTACAGTACTGGCAGATGCAGCAAGTAATCGTAAACTGCTACCACGTCGAAGATTACTGGTAACATTAGTATTGTTTATCTCACCGGTAGTCCTTTCACCTTCGGCTAACGCCATTCTCTCTCGTTCTTTTGTTTTACAATTAAATAAGAAAAAAAATGTGTATATAAAGTTTAATTCACTATGAAAAAGGAAAATAGAAGAATAAAGAGATACGATGAGAGAGATCGGCTTACGACCCGCCAACTGCAGCACACAGGTAACAAATTTCTGAGGATACCTTTTTCTCTCTTTCTCTATCGACCGTCGAAAATATATTAAACACGTCTCTTCTTCTTCTTATACATTCTTCTTTCTCTTTCTCTCTCTCTAAAGTATACACGATCGAACAGATTCACCAATGAAATTGAAGAGCAAATGGTCACGTGTTCCTGGCCTATCGAGAAACAACGAATTCTCGTCGTAATCCGTCGTCAATGCCGTGTTACGAAGTAACGCGAACTGCTTTTCTTTCTCTCTCTTTTTCTCTTTTTCTCTTTTTCTAACCTTCTCTTCCGAGCAACGTCCTTGTATTTCTCGACCGCTTCCGACCGATCATTGCATTGTACAGTAACATCGATTATCGTATATACAAACATATCTGTACGTAACATTCCTTCTTTCTCGCTCTCTCTCTCTCTCTCTTTCACACATACACTTCCTCGTTTTCAATTCGATCGATTTGATCTAAGATTTTCATTCAAACGTTGACGCGTTACTTCATCGACACAATTTCGTTAATTATTTAAACAATATAATTATATACACGTAACATTTCTCGTTAAACAAAATTAATTTACTTGAAATAAGTCATAATCTAAGTTCGACGTGCTTACTATAACGACGTGTCCAAGGCTATTGGCGCGAAATCTTGACTGCCGTTTCTTGACTTCTTCTATACTACGTGAATCAAATTCAAATCTGTATTAATCATGGAATTTTTGAATAATTTTCTTTTGTAGTAGTTTAATTTTCTACGATATATTAAATTAACTCTTTGGAATTTCATTTATAAATTTGTTCAATCGTGTTTTTCTTTTATTTTTGTAATTACTTATGTTGTTTTGAAAAGGCAACACGTGTTCAGCGTTTCTCATTTGAATAGCGCTGTTTTTTTATACCGGGTGATACTTCGTATTTCAATCTTTACAATAATATTATATGTCATATATAAATAATATCAATGATTAAAACAGTTCTATGAGATCATTTTTTGAATGTTAAATAATTCTGTGAAACAAAATTAATTCGATCTAACCAATTCAAAGATCAACGTGGATCACATATTAATTTCATTCAAGTATTTATGATATTAAGCTGATTAGAAACTGTTTAAAAATTACTTGAAGATTTCCTGTTAACTTAATAACAACTCACAATTCACCTGTAAATATTAATTAAGCAATCAATTAATACATAATGTACTTAACGTAAATATATATCATACCGTAACAGTAATAAATAAAATAGAAAGAGAAAGAGGAAAACAAGAGTTTACAACATAATTAAAATTAATTGTAAGATCGAAATACGAAACTACTCGTTTCATTCGTTCAATTATTTAATTGAAGATAATAAAACGTAAAAAAAAGAAGCAAATTATATACATACGTCATAGAAAATTCTAGCTTGGTTTTCATAGAAACACGCGTACAAAGCTGTCCACTTTACGATTACTCGATTGTTCTAATTTCACGTTTTACTAGACTCATTTAATATCAACTTCCTTTTTATTATCAACCAATAATTATTATATTTCATCCACATTACTATTCTTTGATGGTCGTTCGACATTTTCAAATTTTTAATGATGCAACGAATAAAAAAAAAAGAAACAGAAAAAAAAATATTCTTTGTAATTCTAATAAATACGTTATTAAACAATTCACTTCTCACAGTAATTATAAGAAAATTACTAATATAATTGTAATTTTACGTAAAGAAACGAGATTTAAACTAGTTGAATCATACATCTATTTATGTGTATATTAGTTTAAAAAAAAAAAAGCCACAAGAATAAGATAGTTTATAGAACGACTTTCTTAAACGATAGTTCGCGTTAGACTGACGACATGCTTAGCGTCAAAAGTCGTTGCCAGTAGTTTATTTTCGTTTTTCCTCATGTGCCAAAGAGACAGGACCTTACCTCAGCCACGTCACACGATTAGAAAACATATATTTACTATACATAGAAAGAAAAAGAGGAAGAGAGATACTTAAAGACACTACACGTATACGAATATTTAGACCTAATCTATTGTCGTGCAATTAAAAAAAGACAGTATCTATAATTTTTTGACTCTATTAAGCTTATTCATATCGTTAAATTCATCTTGAAAAGCCCTATCATGAGATATATAGAAAATTAGTAAGAAAAATCTTATCAAGTATACTATTATTTTAATAAAAAGTGTATAACTAAATTAAAAGATTAGATTTGTTCTTGGAGATTACAATATAAGTTTCTAAAAAGTCTAATTTTTTCAAGAGATACTGCTTTTCCTGATCGCACAATAGTCTAGGTATTAGGAATAAAGTTGTACGTAAACAATCTTTTTAGAAAACTAATCTTCTCTTTTATCACTTTCCATATCAGGGTATTACTATACACATACATTATTATTATTATTATTATTAAACTTTCCCTGTAATCGTACATCGCAAACAATGCCGTACATTTAATCTGCCTTATTTAATATATTTATTTATTTTTTCTCTTTTTTACCGCAAATATAACTATTATCATTCATTTGATATCAGAAAGATTGCACGCGTATTCGACTAATTAATCATTTGACATTAATGATATTTAGTATGCTTGCGATGAGATTATTTTTTTATGAATAAACAATAAATGTTATCCATATAGGTGTATTTTGGTATTATATCATAGAATCAAATTGAATTGATTCAACTTTTCAAATGTGCCCTTATTATAGATAGTTCGAAGGAAAACAAATTACTATAAATATACCTAATAATAAGAAACTTACAAACCCAGTAAAGAACATCCTAGCACCTTGATCGAAAGAAACGATATACAATAGTGATGATAATAATAATAATAATTATTATTTATATAATTATTCACACTATGTGTGTGTGTGTGTGTGTGCGCGCGCGTGCGCGCGAGAGCACAAGATACTCAGCAAACAAATAATAATAAAAAAATATAACAAGGAAGAATATTATTGTATATTTTTTCGTATAGAATATAATTTGACGCGCTCGAATTAATATACATATTATTCTCCTATTTGTAATCATTTGATTGATAGCATCGAATTCTTTTTGTAAAATATTACATTATTTTTTTATAATAATGTATAAGAGAGAGAGAAAAAGAAAGAATCTTAAAAAAAATAAATCACAAAAATAATTTAAAAGAGAAAAGAAGAAATGCTTCTTAATAAATGTAACAATATATAACAATATTTTCTTTTGAAAATATAAGAATCGCATGTAAATTATGAATATACAATGAAGCGAAAATAAGAGAGGATTTATAAAATAATTTAAAATTGTAAATAAATATTATCGAGATATTGGATAAATTTTTCAACAACAATTTGTTCGTGAGAGCCACGTTTCGTAGCTAAATCGGTGATTACACGTGTACGATTTAAAAAGGCTTGAATAAGAGGAGCCTTCTCTTTATTTTTGTCTTGGTCTTTGTCATCACTTTGTTTATAAACGATCTCATCTATTTCATGTTGCTCGGTAGGACGACGACGATAATCAAGAATAATGTCAGATTTATAATAGGAATACGTTTTGTAGGATTCGATGAGACGTAGAAGAAGATGAGCGAGGTATCTACGTTGATACCAAAGAGCCTCGTGATCGTTGTACATTTTAATACACTCTTCATTGGCTTTACATTCTTCTACCCAATAGGATAAAGCTAGAAAACATATTTGCCACGGCTCAAGTTGCAAGTTGCTGCTACTGCTGCTATTGTTGGTGATAGTAGAAGTAGTAGTGGTTGTAGTAGAAATGCCGGGTCGTGCTTTACCATGAAGTAAATCAAGAGTATGAGACGTAATACAGTGTTGAGTCGTCGTGGAATCATTTCCTTTTTCATCATTATTACTTTCTTGATTACCTTGAGAATTATTATCATAAGTAAGATGAAAAACGTTCGCAACGTAATCCATTACCATATGACAACGTATTTGATAATCGCTATTCTTAATACATTTAAAGAGATTATCCTTGGTGTTAACATCAGTTGCGAGTAGGTATTTCTCTAAGAGATATTGTCGATAACAATGGCCACTATAATCGGATATATTTAATTGGCACCAAGCTAACGAATCCTTCCATTCTTTTTCATAACTAGGATCTGTATATCCGTGAGATTCTTTAAGAATCATAATGCATTTACGATGGCTCCAGGCGTGATAATTAGTCGGATATCTATTCGCACATATAGTACTAACAATCATTTCTGTTGACAACGTAGGTTCTACTATTGCGAGATCGTAATTCTTTCCTTCGGGATTTAATATATATGGTAATAACCAACGACGATAAGCCAAAGCATCGAAACATTTAGCCTTTTTATAAAGCACCAGTCGGGTGAACGCTAATTCCTCGATAACGTCTAATTTGTTACTTTTAACCAATTCTCTTCTCATATTCCAAAATGTCGATACCTCTGGATTTAAGAGCAATGCACCTGACAGCCATCTAGCTACATTGCTTGGATCCTCTCGTCTATGTTTGTTTCCCCGATGTTCAAACAAACGACGATGCGTGTAACAATAAAGTGGTTGGACGCACCATGATGCTAAGCCCAAATTGTCTTCTTGATGAAACACCGGCGATTTGTTCTGATTATCCTCGCAGGGTATAATTTCAAAACTCTTTCTGAAAACATTAAAGAATATGTTAGAAAATACATTAAACGGAACGATACTTGAAATTATGCGCATCTTTTAGAAATTTGAAATTTAAATTACTTTTCAAAGTAATATATTAATATAAATCTCTCAAATATCAGAGATGTAATAATTAACTAATTAGAAGGAATTAACGTTGACAAGAGATTATGAAAGAAAAAGTAAAATTGGATAAACAAATTAATAAAAAAAATATTACGAAATAGAAAGAAAAAAAAGAAAATAGAAGAAAAAAAAAGTTTTCAGTATTTTCTTCCTATTTATATATGCTATTTATGAACACGTTATTTTTTTGTCTTTTTCAAAACCTAATCTATATATTTATATATAAATATCTAGAATATGCTTTTTTTTTTTATTTTTTTAGCTCTTTTACTTTTTATTAAATACTTTTTATTCTTCATCTATTTCAAAGTATTTTCAATAGGATTAAATTTTGAAAGAAAAGATATAACGAAAAAAATTGAATGATAGAATTTTGTATTATTGCACGAAATAAATGCTATTAAAAATATTATTACTGGGGAGTGTTATTATTGTCGTCATATTTTGTATGCTGATGTGGGAAAAGAAGGGTGTGCTATATACGCATACATATAGGACGTGTATATACACATTTCTTAAGGCATATGAAGAAGGTAGAACTTTTCCTTCGTTTCATAAAAATCAAAATCGATGGGAATTTCATTTATATATGTAAAAGAGAACAGAAGCAAAAAATAAACGTAGATATTAAGCACAGTAAGAGAGAGAGAAAAAAGAGAGAGAGAGGAGAGAAGGGAAGAGTGAAAAATGAAAAAGAAATAAAATAAAAATGATAAAATACGAAAATATTTTTCGAACACTTTGTCAACACCTTCAGTTCTTTCTTCTATTCCGTTTTTACTTTCTCTTTATTTATGAAAGATCAAAATTAAACACTCTTAATCTCGATTATTTTCTAAAGACTCCACCCTCGATTCATTAGTTAAAAGAAAAAAAAATGTATGAGAAAAAAATCTACTCACAAAGAAGAATTCTTCTTTAGTACGTTCTCGAGATCAGAAAGGATTTTCTCTGCAGCTGGAAATATATCTTCTTGCATTGTATCAATAATGACACTGACACTTCTTTTCGTTACATCTCTCGACTACTTCCTTCTTGTTATACAAACGCGTGAAGCCAACATACGCGATTTTATCCTTCGTATTTCTCTCTCGTACTATACAAACAATATAGATGCTCAACATCCTCGTCCTTATCGTGCTTCGCTATGGTGCTGCCACCTAGAAGAATATAAACCGAATTAAATACAGTTTAGGATGAATTTGAAATGACAATAAAAATATCATTTGATCGAATGTATATATTAAATGTGTACATATATAATCGTCGTATGTATGTATAATAGAAAATGGAAATTGTTTTACTTAAATTAGAAGACAACATTAATTAATAGTAATCTTGAAACTTAATTAGGGTTATATCATAGAGTATAAAAAAAGAAAAGGCGTTTACCAAGCTTCTACAAGATAATCTTATATTTAACTTCAAGGGTATATTTGAACGCACTCTGCAATTCTAAATTGCAATCTAACCTGTAAATTTAAGAATCTGTCGTACCGTTTCGTTTCAAGCCAATCATCTTACCTTAAAAGGTAATAATTGTACAGGTCGTCGTATAAAAATACAAGATATTTATATTGATAGGTATTATTAATTAAATTAATATACGAAATGTCTGATCCGCGTATACGAACTTTGAAAATTAAGACCGGAGTAGTAAAACGTCTTGCAAAAGAAAAAGTCACTTACGAAAAAGAAGCGGCGCAACAACGCCAAAGAATACAGCAATTAAAAGAACAGGGTGAGAATAAAAAAGTATTCTAAAAAACATAAACGAAGTACGAACTTGAAATATTATTTTAGTTTAGATTAGCGACGCTTTTAACTTAATTTCAACAATGTTAAATAATATCGACACAAATAATGTTGCTTCGTTAAGTAATTACATCCCCATAAACAAAATAAATAGATTATTCTTTCAAATAGTATCTTATGTGCATTTATAGATAAGGATGGATATGACATTAAGAAGCAAGAAGAAGTTCTGCAAGAATCCCTAATGATGGTACCAGATTGCCAACGTCGTCTTGTAAAGGCATTCGAAGAATTAAAGAGTATTTTGGATACCGAACAAGATTTAAAAGAAGTCGAAGATTACATAGAGGCAGAGAAAGTATTACAAGAAGCCGAAGCTCAACTTCCTAAAGAAGGAGAGATTCTACAAATGTGTTAGAAGACAACAAGTCCTATAACTCTTTTCTACGCAATTCATATTTTTATGTATTTACTTTAAAAAGCAAGCTGCATTTGTGTTAATTATTAAGGCTAAGATAGAATTAAGATATCTTTTTGGATTTTATATTTATTCAACATAAAGAATTGCATTTAACAATCAAGAATTTCAGTCACAAGTAGATTTGGCAAACTTAATAGGTACTTCTCATTTCAACATGTATTATCCAGCAAATTATAACGAATTCATGTACATCAACCACAGTGGAAATTATCAACAAAATTTCTATCCACCTAACTGGAACTATTATAATGTTAATTCTACCGATGGAATGTTAAATATTTCTATTAAAAAAAGACAAGAAGATCAAGAACAAATTGAACACTTTCTCAAAGAAGCGGAAGAAAATTCGGATATAGTAGAGGTGAAAAATTTTAAGAGACCATCTAAGATCGGAGAAGCTAAAACTTCTTTAATAATGATGTTTAAATTAAATAAGAAAATAGAGACTATTCACGAAGAGCTTCAATGCGATTCAAGCATACCAGAACAAGAATGGCAGGAGAAAATTAAGACGTGTGCTATGTTAAAAAATCAAATACTTCAAATCATGGACAAATTTAAAGAAAACACTTTTTTTGATCAATTAAAAAAAGATATAGCGAAACGTAAAAAGAAAAGATTAAGAGAACAAATTAAAAGACAAAGTTGGAAGGTAGAAAAGTCGGTTAAAATAGAAAGAAGAGCTAGATTACACGCAGAAGCAGATTCATGGCTGAGGCGTGAACAAGCAGTAATAGAAAAAGAGAAGCAAGATGAAAATCTACGTAAAGATGCAGATATGATATTATCAGATGTAAGAAATAAACGAAACGACGCGAAAAAGTATTTGCTAATTTTGCAAGAATTAAAAAATTTACGAAATGTCAAAACTAACATTGCCAAAGCAAGAGGAGAAACGATATCTACGGCAGCAAATACAGTCTTTAATAACATTATTGGTAATATTTTTTGTATAACATACACACATATATGATGCAATGCTCAAATAATATATAAACTAACAATTTTTGAATTACAGATAAATTATCAGAAACGTGGTCTACATTAGATAGAGAATACTGTATTGAAGAACAAGGCTTAAAACTAATGTTAAAAACGGATAATGAAAAATTAATAGAGAAACAAAAACGAAATGTTTTCGATGAATGGCAAAATGTATTGTTTGGGAAAAAACTTTTAGATCAGATTCAAACGGATATTGTCAATCTTGTAATAGTTCGGTAGGTGATGTAACTAGAAATTATCTATCATAAAAAAAATGTTTTTTAATTAGCCACGTTTGTATGTTACAGAACTGCTTGGGATAAATATATCAATTTCGATGCTGATTCGTCGCAAATTCCAATTGGTTGGATAATACCTAAAAAACCATCATCTGCTGCATGGCAGAAATATCTTAAAAATGATACATCTTGAAATTATTTATTAGTTAGGATCGATAAGAGCATTTTTGTAATGGAAATAAGATAAGTTTGGGATTTTGTTTAATCTAAATAAAGTGCCATGGTGATATGTTGTAATAGAAGCCTATTGTCCGATAATGTTTCCTGGTACATAATATGCAATCAGTTTTTATTAAAATTTATACGGAAAATGTACATAATATGTTACAGTAATAAATTGATAGTATTCTGATGTTCAAGCTATGCTAAATATTAGATTTTTTTGTGCGGCACTCGAAGGTTCTAAGGTTTGATTATCTCTAGCCATCATAATATGTTGCGCCTCCGCACCAGATAATATAATTTGAAGTGTACCTTGTAATTGGGCCAATGATGTGATTAAATCCTCTTCTTCCTCTAATTTGTTTGCTAAAAGATTGAACATGTTTCGTGGTTCTGCTGCCAGTTCATCTAAATTATCTTCATAGATATCTGTAATATTAAATAATATAAAGCATACTTCATGGCATATTTATATATCAAATAAAATTATAATATATATTAACAAACCCATTAAAATGTTGGCCACATGCGATAATACTCGTCCAAATCGAACATTACCTATGTGTCTAATTAAAAATTTAATAATATTAGAAAGAGATTTTCCATCTCTTCCAGCAAGAGCTTGCCTGAGACCTTGTCTTTTATTAAGTTCTTGTAATAATGCAACCGTCACATGTGGATTTTTATTAACAATATATGGCACCAAAACGGAATCCAAGGCTTTGGAATACTGAAACTTTCTTAGCCAAACATCGTGTTTGCTTATTTTTTCTCTAATTTCTTCCTGTACCACAGTATCCACGCTTGATATATAAGTATTTCCACCTTCATTTTTATATGACATTTTCTTACGTTGAACTTTGATATCTTTTACATCTTCTTCTCTTCTTTGTACTGAAATTAAACTATCTACCATMCCAGCCACTATTGTTTCTTCATTTGCCTATAATTAAAACGAATGATATCATAATAAATTCGTATCGAATCGAATATGATGAAATCATTTAGTTGTAATTTTAATAATGAATATTTCTTTACACTAATTCCCATGCTGAGAACTGAATTAGGATAATCCAATGTATGAACAGTTTTATATGTTCCAGAATCATAGATTTTAACATGTCTATCCAATGAACCAGACAATATTCTATGGCCATTAGAAGTTATTTTTAAACAAGTTACTGTTTTATGATGTTGAGAAATTTTTGCTAATAATTTTCCACCTCCAAGAGCATCCCATACTTTAACATCTGTTCCACCTATTTTTTTATTAAATAAAATGAATTTAAGTATATATCGGGAGAGACATCAATTTATCTTTAAATACAATATTTGATATGATTACATACCTGCTGATAAAAAGATTCCTCCAGAAGGTAAGAAAAGAACACTTTCAACAGGTGCTTCGTGATTCACAGTAAATATTTTTTTATTTGTCCTAGTATCGTACATATTTATTAATTTATCATAGCCTCCCGATAATAATAAATCCGATGATATAGGACTTACAGCTCCGGCTCTAATATAATCGTTATGCTCATTAAAAGTAATTAATTGTTTTTCACTCCCTATATCCCATAATACTACAGTTTTATCATCAGAAAATGAGGCAATGCGAAGATTATCTGCTGTAAAAAATGTTCTATGTACGGCAGCTTTATGACCTGAGAAAAGACGTAAAAGACTTTTCGTGCTAACATCGAATAATCGTACAACAGCTTCTTCTCCTCCAGCACATAATAAGTTGCCATCTCTACGAAAAGAACCACCATAGGCAGCTTCTTTGAATCTACTGAAATTCTTCGTAACCAATTTTGTTATTGGATTGTAGATTTGTACTCTTACGGAACAAGTAACAGCAAAATAGTGTGGTTCCACGGGTGAAAAGTCAATATAATCAATGGGACCAAATTCTTTTACAAGCACAGGTGCCTGTTAAATATATTCATATATTGTTAATATAGAAAATATTAAATTAAGAGATACAATAGATTTATAGGTTATATATATATATACAAACTCTTACCGTATATTTTTTCCAATAAATATTATCCGGTGTTATTTCAGGTCCTGCTCTCATAAATATCTTGGTATTTGTTTTTTTAAAAGACGCCATTGCGTACGAATTATTATTCAAGAATAGATATATTTACTAATTATTATAAAAAAAAAACTTTTCTTAGCGTATTTCGAAAGCACATGTTTACCAATGCTAGAACGGAAATCTTGAACAAGGTATCAAAGAATACCGTAGGAGCGCCGGCAGGGAAGGTTTCATGCCAACAGAAAAAAATGAATAAGTGCTCTTCATTGCACACTATTTGCTCAACTTTATTTTATTACATATTTTTTATTTATCGTCAATTAGTTTAAAATAGGTGTTACACTTTGAATAATTATAAAATGGCGACGTCATGAGTGAGAGATATGTTACACACATGCGCCACCACAAATTCAAGGCGCAAGAACATTTGGAAAAAATTGAAAGTAAAGTTGGTATACCAGCAGGGGATATATATAAAGTTGATTTCCAAAGTAACAACCTATAAGGTAGTGAAAAGAAATAAGTAAATCATTCATAATGTATAAACAATAGGTAAATATTTTCATTTTATCATTTTTTTCTGCTGTTGCGGTTCTATGCCAATTTTTTTGTGGTGAAGTATATAGAAACTCACAAGTCCCCTTTTTTATCTACCCAGCATCATTTTTGTTACCACTGGGACCACCATGGACGATAGTATGTACTTTACGCGATGACGGTACAATACTATCAAAGAATACAATATCTTTGATAGTATATATGGTATAGTTATATTGTAAGAAAATTTAAAATAATTATATTTAATTTTTAGTGTCTAAATACGTGTGTACCTTCAGAAATGCATTTTTTATACATATATATTTTAAAAAGTAGAAGAAAATCAAAACGAGTAGATGATAAATCCAATGATGACCCACCTGTAACAAAAAGAAAACTATATTAATCATGGTTCGGTTAGTAACTATGATAATTGTAGTTTAGCGAAAAGTGGACTTGTGAGCTTCTATGTACTTTTGTATTCCTTGGTACTATGATGTTACTGATAATGTAGACAGTGATATAATCATAGTAAGGAAACAAGAAATATCGACTTAGCACGAAACGTTGATTGAAATAATTATTATTCTCATTTAGAATATATAAAATAGAAAGAAGAAAATCATTGAAAATTTCTGTGAAAGAAAATGTTCTTTGAATTATTTAACGAATTCAAAGAGATTTGGCGCGCAATTAGTTGATCTAGAGAGACGATCACGTGACAATGATTTCCGTGGCGCCGATGTACAACGATTTGCGCGCCCGCGCGCTCATGTCGTCCCTCTTCGGGCCACGAAACTCTTTGTATAGAGAGAGAGAGAGAGAGAGAGAGAGAGAGAGAGAGAGTGAGAGAGAGAAAGAGAAAAAGAGAGAAAAAGAGAGAAAGAAGAGTTTAGTTCTCCGCGTCTCAAAGATTACGCGCGAGTCGTCTACGGTATTTCACGAGAGCAGAAGTACTACTTTGAGCGAGGTCTTTTAGTGCTTTTCTAAAGGATGTTTTGTTCGTGTCTTCTTCCTATTTTCCGCCAACAATATCCTTGCCCTTGTTCTTTGTTTATTTTTACGTTTTAACATTCCTCCGAAAGGATTGATGTGTATGAAAAAAATTTGTGTTTTAAAGACTTTTCCCTCAAATACATCGTCGTAGATGCATTAAAAAAAGACAAAGTGAGTAAAGAAAAAAGTATAAAAAGGACAGAACAATCCAAAGAAGGAGAAAAAAAAGAAGAATAAAATTAACCTGGTGTATTTGTTTTTTGTTATATATATTTTAAGAAATAAACAATAATAATTAATTACAAGAAGAATAGGACGATAAAAAGAAAGATAGATAAAGAGAGAAAGAAAAGAAGGAAAGAGAACGTCTAATATGCGGGACGTCATTGGGTCGAGCAAGCGAGCTCCGAGACAAAATGGGGCCCGTTGATCGGGCCCGGAAGAGTGCTGGGCTCCGATCACGAACGGAGGTATGGATGTCATCGGGGACGGGGACGAGCAGACCCTCCAGGCGATTCTAGGTGAATACTCTCTTTTTCTTACTCGTTATTGCATTTTCTCTTTCCTTGCTACGATCTCAATTTAGGAGTGGCGTACGTATACCTTTATGTTGTTGTGTATGTGTATGTTATACGTAACTATACATATGTATATATGTACATAGAGATATATAGATATAGTTAGTAGTGCATTCGCGTGAATTAACAAGTTGTTTTATCGCTTCTCCTCTCTTTTGCTAAATCTTTTTGCTAAATCTTTACTTGAATTTTCATTTTCTTTTTTTAAATGTTTTTACTAAGTATTCGTATCAACTTTTTTGATTATTATCTTCGACGCATTAATAATGTCTCTTTCTCTTTCTCTGTCCGTAATGTGAAAGTTAGATATATTTCCTTGCATGCACGTCATTTTGGTAGGATTTTTTTTTCTTTTCATTATTCATAAAAAAAAATAGAATAGACTAAAAAGAAAACAAGGGCCACACATTTGTTTTCCGTTCCAGTTACGTGGCCAATGATACCGTCGACACGTTTTTACACGGCCTCGCGTGCGAAGAAAATGTAATGGCGAGAAAAAGCGTTCGTCCGCAAAAAATAAAAAAGAGAGGAGGATCGTTGAACGTTCAAGGAGAGAATCGCTATAACGTCATTTTCAAATCGCGATATAGTTGATCGTTTCTATAAAATATTTGTAACATTTCATGTTTCTCATATTTTCCTCTACATTCTCAGAGAAAGAAAATGAACTAAGGTGAGGTACTCACTTGGTTGCTTCGTACGTTGACCTTAAAACGCACCATGGATACCGAATGTGCGTCTTCTTTCCTTTTCTCTTCTTTTATTTTCTTTGAGCAATCTTTTCTGTAATTTAAACGTGTTCGTGTTGACAATCTACTTTTTTTCTTTTTTCTTGTTGTCGTTGAAAAGATAAACTTTTGTGAATGCCTTGCGTAGTAAGAAAAAGATCGACAGATCGTGAAATGATCGCACAACGATCGATGTATCGTAAAACTTGTTAACACTTTATAACCCAATTTGTTTTTATGTTTACACAAAAATTATATATAAAAGCTATAGTATTACTAATACACCTATTTTGTAAAATTACAAATCTAACTACGAGTTTAAAAAAGAAAGAAAACGAATTTCTAAAATCATCTATAAGCTTAAAGCCTATTTAAGAAATTTTGGTCTATTTTGTATAAGCGTCTAATTAAAACGCACATAAAATGACGTGATGGAACGTTGACAAAAATTGTTTTTCATTTTTTTTCCTTATATTTGCATAATAATTCTTATCGATTTTGAGAACAAACATATTTGTAAAATTATTCGGAATGAAAGGACTAAAGTTATTTGTTTGAGTCACGCATGTTATTAATGTTTATTAATAAAAAGAGAATAAAAGAAATATAAATCATATTGTCACTTTTAAACTGACACGTAATACATGTAATCGAGTCGTTGAGATAATTATCACGCATTCGAAGTAAGAGAAATTAGTCTCATTCTTCTATTCGCGTTATATTACACATGTGTGTATACATTTTTGAAACGTTCATTGAATGATACATACATAAGCACATCTTTCCGATGAAATATTTGCTTGGCGACGTTCTCTCGCGGATACGGCACGATCGACCTGGAGAACGGAATTTTCTCGAATCGGATATGCCGTGGTAGAAAGCAGTCAACGTTGGCTCTCAGTATATAGTACTTACATACTTTATTTTCATCAACACTTCCGGAAGATCTTCCTATTTTATCAATTTTACAAAAATTTACCAATATATATATATATATATATATATATATTATCTCAATTGTTTAAATATTTTCAATAAAATATTATGAATTATACCTAATGAAGAAAATTGAACACATTTACCCGCATTAAACTTAAGATTTAACATAATAATATCGTTCGGTTTGGGTCAAAGATTAGCAGCATCGCTAAATTCAAACTTCATCGCGTTTGAATTTTTTAACTATAATACACATATAAGTTGTCAGTGAAATGTATAATGAAATAAGTATCATCTTGTTGAGATATTCATAGAATTAACAGGCTCATTTAACTATAGCAATTTTGATTCTGGTTTTCCTGGATTCTACCATTCGTCTGGTAGTGAAAGTAACTTAGAGAACGTTCTTTTCCGTTTACACGAAATTATTTACGGTCCGACACGTTGTATACTCATTGCTCATTCTTCTCTTTCTTTTTTTCTTTTTTTCTTTTTTTCTTTCTTTCTTTCATTGCTTATAAGTAATCAATGAAATCATTTAGAAGAGGAAACATTGTGTAAATTGGAACGTATCGAAAATTGAGATATTTGCAATAAAAAGTACATTTAAGAAATGTTTAACGAATGATGTCTCAATACCTTGATGTCTTAATGATCGATTGCTTTAAATCTTGTCTATTTTGATAATCTCGAAATAAACTGTCTTTTACTGCAAATAACTCGACTGTTCTTCGTTCAGTTTTTTGTTTAACTATTGAGAATTAACGAGTTCGCTGAAAGGCGGATAAGCTTTTAAAGTAGCAGAGTGTGCCTGTGCGCTTCGACTCAATACAGGAAAACATGTCCCCCTTGTTAATAGTTTATTAGCAACGCAGGTCGGTGCATTGCGGTTCGCCTCCGATCATCATAGAACCATTGACGATGATGGAAACAAACAAGTTATGCAGTCAAGAATTTAAATGAATTTTGTTCATTTTTAGTCTAAGAGAATGTTCGATTACTTTGCTGTATATTTCTTTGAAGTTTGTGGTAATTGTTAGAATAAAAATTAATGAATAATTAACACAAAATTTGTGATCAATAATCAGAAGTATTATTTGTTTTTGTATTCATAAAAATATGGACACATGAGTATAGAAATTTTCTTCCAAAATACCATAGCAATACTAATCGTTGAGAAATCTTTATATATATATATGAATATTCCTTATCTTTTAATTACAGGCAAAGCTTTTAACTGTCCTATCAAACTCATAATTCTAGGTTCGGGAGAATGTTGACGCCTGTGCATATCTAAATGTAGCGCCATGTGCACAGATAAGAGATTCAAGAGCTTTCGTTTGTTTGTCGTTTATTTTTCGTAAAGATAAATTTCTAATCTCTTTTTTTTCTTTATTTATTTCTTTAATTCTTGGAGAAACTCAAAGAGAAAGTCTTTTGATCGTACAACGTATGACAACGAATATGTATCTGTGTTTCATGAATGTATAGTTGAAATGAAAATGATTTTGTTCGAAAAAAAAAATATATATAGAATAGTAATAGAAATCTTCATTCACATAAGTGTACAGATACGATAGTTATCGGCTAGCTTCAATTTCACCTACATCGTGTAGTTCTATAAATAGTATCAAACAGTTAGTATATACCTAAGTATATTACAGCGATGGTTTGTTATACTCCGGTATAGTAATGATCGTTATAAATTGCAACAAACGATGTCGTCACGACGAGCCAATTTACTACTTACAACTTACGTCCTTTTGAGTCTCTTACGAATTGTTCTAAAGATTTATACATATTTTGATATCGAATAAGACAGAATACGCAGGAACATTTTTATAGGTGAGTGAGTCAAAAGTTCCTACATGACTCAAAGGTTTTTAGCTGGACTAAAAACGCATTCATACTTTAACTTTTAAAATCATTTGGTAAATTTGGATCTATTTTTCGTTATTTTATAATTCTCAAAGTTGACTTCGAAATTTCTTTGAAAAAAGAGAGAGAGAGAGAGAGAGAGAGAGAGAGGGGTAGAGGGAGAGAGAGAGAGTGAGTAAACTCTTCGGTTTATCGGTTAGATTTGTTTGGGACAATGGTAAGAATAAGTTATGGGATTTGGTTGTATGACATGGCCATTCGTATAAAAGCACGAAGTTAAGCAAACTGGAGTCGATTCGTACCACCCACGAAAGCACATTGGTCGGTGAAAAGCATTCGGGACCCGCCTTGCGTGGAAAAGCTCAAGAGCATGCGCATTCTTCGCAAGTATACGTCAGATAACAGTGCCATTGGTTACTTTACGGTATACACCCTTTTACTTTTCATTCATTTTGGAAGCTCCTGTGCAATTTCTTATTTTTCTTCCATTTTTCTGTTCATTTAGTATAACTTGATTATGCGTGAAAGATAAACAAGAAAATTAGACGATTTCTTCGAAACAATACATGAGGAAATTTAAATATTTATTTATTTTCTCTCTATGTTTCTCGTAATTTAAATATCTTTTTCTTTGTATTTTCACGTTTAATTATATCATGTAATTCTACGATAAGATTATTTCATTACACACATTGCTCGTTTTACGATGGCATTCTATAGAATGCCCGCAAAATACAAATTGTCCGTAACATATACAATTGATCTACAATTATTTGTATTTTTTATTATTTACTGAAATTAATGCAATTGTACAATTGATTTGTGTATCGTTATAGTAACTTGTACGTTATATAAACGTTTTACATTAACTCACGAAATAAGACTATTTTTCTTTTTTCAGTTACATGAAAATTTGTTTAAAACGACATCGCGTGATCACGATTAAGGTTTATGCAAAAAACAATTCTTATGTTTATTCGATCAATTTCGATTTAAGAATAATCAATGTCGGTTTGGTTCGAGTGATTATTTAAACCGATTGTACCTGTTACCTTTCCCTTTCCGAAAGGGAAATATTTAGTAAGTACATATGATCTAGCAACCACCTGCATAAAAGGGTGATAAACTGCCCTTTAACGCGCCCTCCCATTTTTGAAAGGGTGTGCGTGGGAAAAAGGGCGGAGTGTATCCATAAATACGTCCACGTGCTCGAGACGAGTCCTTTTTCTCGTTTCGATGAAAGAAAAAGGGGGAAAGACAATTAGGGTGGTTTGTTTAATCGATGCTTTTGTATTTGTGTTCACCACTTGCTCTATGTTTGTTCTCATAATCAATGATCAAACGTGATCATTAATTTTTTCATAGTTAAAGGCGGATAAAGTAAATAAAGAAAGATTT